GGGTGTGGGTGTGGGCGTGGGTGTGGGTGTGGGGTGTGGGTGTGGACGTGGGTGTGGGTGTGGGCGTGGGTGTGGGTGTGGGCGTGGGCGTGGGTGTGGGTGTGGGTGTGGGTGTGAGTATAAATGACAACTAAAACACCCGCCCACACTCACACCCACACCCACACCCACACACCCACACCCACACCCACACATCCACACCCACACCCTCTATGATAAGAGTTACTTGTACGGATATGAATAAGATATCTTACGCACCATTTAATCTAGTAAATTGACAATTCTTAATATTTAAATTTTTTTTTTCGACCTCTTATACGAATACAGGTATAAAAATGTTTTCCAACAGAAATATGGAGTTCTGTATAATAATATGAAAAAACACCGTAATCATGTTTTTATTTAATCATCATCAAAATCATCATTTTCATCTTCATCTTGATAATTTACTTTCTTGCATTCCTGAAGATCAATTTCAATATAATTTGAGTCAACCCGATGTACTGCTGTTATTTTAAAAGCTGTGTATGGACCTACTAATACTTCTTTTTCGTTTCTATATTCAGATATATCTTCAATATTTAATCCTGTTCGATCATTAATTATTTCGTATATACAAAGAGCCGATAATTTAACATTTGCACCATGTTGTTGTTTACGATTGGTTAAATCTTTTTTCGCAAATTGTTCAGCAATATTTCGATCTTTTGTTGTTGACATAAATGCTTTATTCATAACTTTACCTCCAACAATGTATTGTTTTAAATCGTCTTGAGTAATAGTCATACCGCGATAAACTCTTCCTTTATATGATAAAATCTTGAATGCCGGATGATTATAGAAAAAATCAATAAAAAATGTTATACCAAAATTTGTACCTTGATCAAAGTGTTTTGTTGCTAAATCTCGATTTAATTTAGCATAAAAATCGGATTCAACTGTATAAGCCTTAAGAAGATAAAATGGATCTTTTTCTGCTTGATCAATCCATCTTTTAATATTTTCTTTTTCAGTGTAAGACATTTCACTTTTAATGTATTTCAAACGATAATCAACATTTTTACTTTGCCATCCAAATCCACTATGACGATAAAGATAATCACTTGCAATAGATTCAGCTTTATCGTCACACTTCATCCAATCAATATGACCCGATCCATCATCAGAAAATCGAGTTTGGGATTTTCGCAAAAATAGTTGCTTAATTTCATCCTTTTCAGTTTCATCATAAGGTAAACATTTGTGTTCGTTTTGTATTGAGCGACTAGCACCTCTGTCTAGCAATAATTTAACTATTTCTGTGTGACCATAATAACAAGCAGCATGAAGTGCAGTAGAACCATTGGCTTGAATTTGATCGACTTCTTCTACAGTCATGATACGTAATTGTTCACGAACTTTATCTATTTGTCCATTACGGCACGCATAATAAAAATTGCTGATCGTGGATGACTTGGGCTCCGATGTCATGGATTAATTTCTTTACAAGGATAAGAAAAAACATATGACTAAAATAATTCATCATATTGTGAGATGTGGTTGTGGGTATGGGTGAATGTCCGTTATATGATTGATTGCATGCAACTACTAATTTCTACACCCTAAGTTCTTCGACTGAAGTATACATATTTATTCTGTCCTGTTTTTATGAGAGAAAATATAAAGTAACACTTTCCTTTTATCATTATTGATTCGAGTTATCGGGATCGTTCAATTAGCTAATACTTGAACAGTCTTCTCAATAAATTTAATTTTGACATATGTTGGTGAATACAAAATGAAGAACATTAAATCAAACGTCACACTATTAACAAACACATTTTCTGTTTGTTTTTCTGAAAAGAGACAAGATGATAGATATTCGTATTTTAGTTAAAAATGTTGGCTGTACAGAATACTTAAAAGTTTGTCTTGAGAAAATAAAAATAAAATCTACTTATCCTCCATTCAACAGAAACTATTCGATGAAGTTTCATTACAAATGTAATAAAACTGAAAAAGCTGTTAGTGCAGTCTCTAGTGGGGTTAAAAGTTGAAACAGGATATACTGATCACTAACTGATCTCTGAAAAACTCGCTGTTCCATGTATTTCACAATATCCGTCTTCATTATTGTTAAATACAGAGCAATCAAGATCGTAACACAAGAAGTTAATCAACTTTTCTACCAGATATCATCTATATAAGGTTTCTAATAATTATTAAGACTCATCAGTCGGGCTTTGAACCACCCTGTAAGGTGTCTTCCGTGAATTATAACCGGTCCTAGGTCAGCTTGTCATCATTTCTGCTGATCCGTACAATATATCTGTAACGATCTATAATGGTGTCTACAGTCTGTCTTTAGCGATCTATACTGAGTGAAAAATCAGTCTGTAACCGTCTCTGATGAGGAAGAGTGAGTTCAAAATTTCCAACTCTATATACTTCAACATTTTGTTTTGCAGATCGTTTTTCACAAAAGCATTTAAGTAAGAACTTTTGAACATGCTGCATGAATCCATGAATAAACAGAGTACGAAATCATTTATACTGTGAATAAACTGGTTGCGATAGCACGGTTTCTAGATAAGATTATTTTACACCAATTATTGATCATGACTGCTACGATCAAGGATGATTACGTTGGACATTAGTTTTATCTGTAAAACACTTAGCTTGAAAAAATTAAACAAACCAGAAAAAAAGTGTCGACTCGAGCGAGACAGTTGGGCAAATCCGGTTGTCCAGTGTAATCATGAAACGTCAATTACTACAGTGAATGGATGCAATCAATCAATATTCATATTTTTATGTTCAAATATAAAAGTCAATGACAAGTAAGCGTATACTGAAGATTCTCAAAGATCTTGCGATCCATAGAAATCATTAGAATGTAATTATTACTTGTTATATGAACGATCATCTGACTAAAAACGATTTCCAGAAATTATATTAAAGACTCATTTATCTAATATTATTGAACTCTAGAAAATGAATATTTTCCCTTTTTTTTTTTGAAAAAATTTTATATATTCAACATATGAATAATATCTTGAAAGTTAATACCAATACAAACTTACCTTTTTATTAAATGTATGTATCAGAAATAAGAATTGTAGATCTAAAACTTTCTATTGAAAAATCTAGAAAAAATGTAAAAAAAAAAGAATCATGTTAAAAGTCAATCAGGTGATTATATTGTAACTCAATAATACTGAATGTGTTCATATCGAATTCAAGGTTGTACTTATGAAGAAAAAAATTAACGTGAATAGAATCATATATTCGAATAAAGAAATATTTACCATGTATTTTATGTATCGGCAAAGCTAAATGTCAATCAAAATAATCTTTTTCGTTTTACTGTATCAAATTAAAACTGTCCGAGTTACTTCAGGCAATTGAATGGCTAGAGAAGTCGAAGTCCTTACCACTCAAATGATAGTTTCCAAATCAAAGTACAGTGACAGAAAGTTTGACAAAATGGTTTCATAGCTTTTATTTTAAACAGATTTTCATAAAAGTGATCTATGATCGAGATTTAGTCTTAAGACATTGTTTTGTGCTAAGGCCATATCGCTTCGAAAAGTCAATGTCTGTGAGATGCAGTGATTTATATACTTTATGATCGGACGGATGATACTCACTAAAATTTCGATTGTTCCTCTCGAAAAACGAAATCTAAATAAAACATGGTCAGATGTACATCAAATTCGACTGTCTGTAAAACAGAGTCATTTTCAAAAACTAGAAAAACTGTTGGGAAAATTCTACAAAACATACGAAGCGAATGATCTCACAATTTACTGTCTTGATATACTTGTATGATATTTAAGTTTTGGATTCAGGATTTAGCACAATTCGAGTAGAAAAGGTATAGTTTGAATGAAACAAACATCATACTCGGAGTTAAAATAAAAAATGTAACCAATCTATATGGTTTTACAATATTTTCATGAAGTTTGCTTTTAATTGTAAAATTTGCCTGTGGTATTCTTCTAGGGGATCAATATAATAATAATAATAACGATTTCCGTAGACCTATTGCTCGGTAGGACCAGCCGTGAGGATGGTCTACATTACGTCGGGTTCTCTCGTTTCTTTCTTTTTACATTAAATCTGTACAAACGAATGTAAATTAGGTCGATCTAAAACCTTTCTAAAAAATTTTATCCTACAATTATTTTTTTTCACCGAATGAGTCTTTACCTCATTTTACTTATAAGTTATGTTCTGACGTGTTCTCTCAGACGACTAATGCTGTTGAGTTCGTTCAAGTTTCATTTGACAGATCCTTAGATACTATACGAAAACCAACAAATTATGAAGTATATTTGTTATTGAGGTTTGTAACTTTGTGATCTTGATTGTTAAAAATTAAACATCAATCAGGAAAAGATATAAGTTTTCTCCTTTTTCCCAATTCTATTTGTTAAATCTCTAGGTTTTTTTTAAATTTCATTTTATAGAACTTCTGAAGATGAATCTTAATATATACAAATCAAGTTCTAAAAGAGTTAGTAACATGCGCAAAAATGGCTTAAATATTGGTCGTAATGGTGAACAGCATTATGGAAAAATGATTTGACATACTTCTCATAGTGCTTCATTTTATAAAACTTTTCATCTGGACGAGATTAGAGTTTCATTCTGGATGTAATAAAATAGTGAGTTGTCTAAAATAATGAAAAAAATTTTCAGTTCTTCTACACTCTGGGAGGACAAGGATCTTAAGAAAAAAGTTTTTCATGAAATTGAATATCTGCAGTCTTTATTGGAGAGAGATTGAAATACAAACTAAAAATATATAATGGAAGTTCATTAATGATTATAATTCAGTCAACTGAGATTGATTGCTCGATGCCACTTACTTCCTACATTGTGTTGAATCTTTCAGCAGAAAAATTCTACATATATTACTAAACCGAGTTATTATTCAACTTCCATTATATATTCAACTTCAAGAGCAAAAATGTTCGCTTTGAAAGCTTTTGTGATTTCTTCAAGGGTCAAAAGGGGTTAAACTTATTTTCGTTCTTCCAGAGATCACATTATGTTAAAATATCCAGGATGAAACCCTAATCTCATCCAGATGAAAAGTTTTATAAAATGAAGCACTATGAGAAGTATGTCAAATCATTTTTCCATAATGCTGTTCACCATTACGACCAATATTTAAGCCATTTTTGCGCATGTTACTAACTCTTTTAGAACTTGATTTGTATATATTAAGATTCATATTCAGAAGTTCTATAAGATGAGATTTAACAAATAGAATTGAGAAAAAGAAGAAAACCTATATCTTTTCCTGATTGATCTTTAATTTTTAACAAACACGATCACATAAATACAAGCGTTAATAGTAAATATACTTTATAATTTGTTGATTTTCGTATAATATCTTAGGATCTGTCAAATGAAACTTGAATGAACTGAATAGCATTAGTCATCTGAAAGAAATCGTCAAAAATGACTCGCAAGAAAAGTCATGTAAAGACTTATTGGATGTAAAATAATTATTATAGGATAAAATTTTTGAGTAAGATTTCAAATCGAAAAGAAATTTAGCTCTAGTCAATGGTCAAAAATGCTCGGCCTTTCGCAAAATTTCAGTTAAAAGACTGTACATAAAAATATCAGTTATCTCGTTTAGTCATCATAGTTATATAAGATTCATTTTAAATCTTTTGCAATCGAACCGTTCCGACCTCTGATTAAAACTAAAGGGACAGAAAATGAAAATAAAAAGTAGAGTGAACAGAAATAAAATGAAATTAAGCAGACCGTTATTCTTGCAGAATAAATCTCCCTCACTTCATGTATCTTTTAAAAGTGTAATAAAACTCAAACTCAAATATTAGTCTCATATTTTTACTCATCTTAAACTGTAAAGATAAGCTTTCACTCTGTAAGTCAGGAAGCTCTGTTCTTACATGAAAATAAACAATAAAAATTCATTCTACTGAAATCTTATGAGATGTTGCGCATATGAAATCAATTCTCGGTATATAACAAGTATTTTATAATTCAAGTCTTTTTTTGTTAGTCGACCATTCAAATAATGCGATGCGAATAGTTTCGATATTTTTGAATTACAACATAAAATTTTTCACAAATCGAAAATTTCTAATCTGAACTTTTTTGTTTTTCAATTTCTTCAAATACTTTCAAAAGTTCCTCATTAAAATTTTTCTGTGTTAAATCAATAGGATTTTTCCCACCAATAAGATGTTTTAACCATCCTTGCATTTTAAATTTAGCTTCTACAATAACTGGAATAATTGGACTTGAATGTTTATTTGCATATTCAATTTCGGCCATGCAAATTTTTGACAGACGATATTTTGATGATAAACAAACTAAAATCGTTTTCTTTTGTGTTATTGCTTTTTTCATTAATTCCAATCGATGTTTTCCTTGTTTTTCATTATAAACTCGATAACCTCTTGATGATAAACGATCAAAAATTTTTTTAGCTACAATCATATCATCAATTATACTACTGACACTAATTAATAAATCATAAGGTATTGTTTCATCCCATTCATCGTTTGATATGGACCGATCATCATCCATTGTAGTTGTTTGATGTTTTTCTTTTTCTGTTTGCTCATAACGTATTGTTTCTTCACTTCCTAATCGCCAGATAATTGCACTAGCATTTTGCTTGGACTTTTTTGACGTTCCATTTAATAACATAAGAATTTGGTCAATGAATAAATTGTTTGATTTTAATTTTTTATTTGTTGTTGGTCCATAAAATGAAAGTTTCCAAATAATAAATACAGCTGATTGTTGAATTCTTTTTAATAATTCTTTTTTTTGATCATCTACATGTTTCTCTTCAGAGCCAATCAAACAGAAACATTTTATTATAACTGAAATACCTTGTTTTTCTTCAGCAAAACTTTCCGTAAATGTATCATTTAAGACAAAAACTAAAAGATTAAAAAGTTTTCGAGTTTTTTAAAACAAATATTCATTCTTAGTTTCTATTTACTTTCAAGATGTCTCAATAAACGATATAATTTCAAACCTTGATATGCTAGTCGAGGTTCTTTAATACATTTATCAATATACTCAACACAGGTCTTTGCTAATACGGGTGGATCATATATATCATTGTAAATATCTGAATTGAACATGATTAATATAAAATGTGATATAAAATGTATTAGTTTATCGCGGATACAACGTAATTTTAAACAGATATTTAAAATATTTTTCGTCATCAATTGTGAACGTAGTCTGTTATCGAATCCGAGATTATAAAATAATATTAAGGATTGACCGATAACTCCAGCCCGAGCTTCTACAGTATGTCGATTTTCATCAATTAATGATTGATCTTTTAATATTGAGAATAATTGATCAACGATTGGTAATGATAAAAATTCCTTTCGTATAGTTCGTATCATTGCAAAATGATTTAACATTCTTATATGATAACTTAACGCTACCATTCGCGCAATTTTTGTATCATTAAGAGCTACTTCACCTGATATAAGATTAAAAATAAAATTCAATTGTACAAAATGTGTTAATATACAGCATTGAAAAACATTATAATAACAAAAACAAAAAATTAAAACTTATTCATTTGTTTCCTGATTCTCTTTTTTTTGCTTGATTTGACCTATCAATTAAATGTATTCTATTCGAATATTAATACAGATCTTATTTAAACATATTTATTTCGATGAGAAGAAGATACAGAAGTTTTTCTATCTAGTCAAAATGATACGAATAAATGAATGTTTACAGAATGATGGGTGATAAAAACGAAAATTTGAGTACAGGAACGATAATGACAGAACTGTTGAATACGAATAAAAGGGTGTGGGTGTGGGTGTGGATGCGTTGATGTGGGTAGAGGTGTGAGCGCCGGTGTGGGTGAGAGAATACATCATCCACACCCACCCTTAATAAGAAAGATCGATGAATAAGTGTAAACGTCTAGCAGGTGTGAGTCTGGGTCTGGGTGTGGAGTGTGACTAATCGTTCTAGTCCACACCCACACCTACCCTTGGCGTGCCTGCTCTGAATACTTCAAGGCTATTAAATAAAAAGTGCTGAAATTAATCTTGTGAAAATTTATCAAAAAGAGGCGAATATGGTAGCGCATAGAGTAAAACTTTCGAGCTATTCCTTTTACACAGACAATCGATCAGTTCGTTTTCATCCGAGATGTAAGTTTGTAAAGTACAACTGCGCCTTTGATAACAGGAACAGCGTATCATATTCTGCTATATTTCATCTTATTGAGTTTTTCAAGAATTCAATAAATGGGACATGAACATCGAACTAATCTTTGGTTATGTGAATATCTTACCTTTGTCTTCCATTAGAATGGATAAATGTTGGTTGAAGATTGTTTCAGTATATTTTAATATTGTTTTACCCAATGAATTAGCAATATCTTTTCGTCGATTATAATCATTTCGAAAGAGAAATTCTGGGCATTCATGCATGAAAAATATGTGTTTTGCTGCAAGGCCACTATTGCTTGTCGTAACTGTAGACGCCGCCTTCGTTTGAACAAGTTCAATGTTTTCGAAAACTTTAAGATAAAAGTTCGAATTTAAACATTTTAATATTGGATCTATTAATAATTCAACTTCTTTGAGTTCCTGTTTTGAAGCAACACGAACACGTCGTCCAACATCTTTATATTTCAATGCATTTGATGGATATTCCTTAGTAGATAAATCTTCGATATCTCGACATAAATGTGTCAAATAAGTTTCGTCAATAAATTTAACTTTTACATTATCATTGAGTTCTATAGGAAAACAAATTATATTGTTTTGTCATGTGGGAAAAACTAAAGAAATTTTACCTATGTTAGCTTTCAAAAGACCGAGTTTAATTTTAAGCTTAGGTTCAACAAAATTCTCTTCGATGTACTTAGCATAATCTTGTTTTAATTTCATTGGTTTGTTTTCTTTATGAATTTGATCACTACTTAAAATTTTTGATAAAGTTTTATATGCGAATCGTAATGTAATGTCTTTTGCAGATTCTAATTTAGTAAATACCTGTCGAAAATCTTTTCGTTTTAATATTGAAAATATGTGCTTTTCATATGCTAAATTGTATAAAAGCATTAATGTATATGCAATCGTAGCAACATCAGCATGAAAAAGTTCTTCGTTTTGACACGCATTATCAATTAAAATATCGTGTTCTAAGACATTTATTATTTTATCGATGATATTATTTTTAATAAAATACCGTCTACCAGACGATGTTAATGACAAATAATTTAGTAATTTCAAATGGCAACGAAAAGCGTAAAGTGCTATTCCTCGATCATCGTAATATTTTGGATCAAGTTCATTATCTATTAATAAAAAAATACATATATAAAATTGAGATTAGATGAGGGTCTGGTTACTAAAGAGCGAAAGGTAACTAGCAATTGCTAGGAATGCTCCGAAAATGTTTCAGTTTTTTATGGCAATGTGTAAGTCTAACATGAAAAGTTTTTGAATTTTTATTCGATTTTTCGAAGATTTTTTAAAATTTTATATTACCTCTGTGAGACATTTTCTTATACATCCGCTCTACACCCCTCCAATATTGGGATCCTCGCGCGGAGCCTGATTTTATTATTGTTTAGGTGATCTGTCGAATAACTATTTTTATAGCGCCATTTAATAAAAATTAAAACTCAAAACCTAAGTAAATATAGCAGATGTGGTTGGCACTGGTGGTTTCAACACGTTTCCATTCATGAAAGGCATCGATGCTGACGTATACATGACAATTTGGTAAAAGTTAAAACATTCTCATCGATTGTGATACAAAAACGTATTCAGCTGATGAATGGCGGTTAATTGAACGGTTAAGCGCCGGCCTTTGATCAGTTTGACCGACATGGGACTCTTCTAAATCGCATTTACTCCCGCACTGGTTTTTTTTCTATTCGTGTTTAATCTGGTCCACTTTCGGATATACAACTAACTGAAAAAATATGAAACTTTTCTCGATTATAAAGATTTCAACTATGTATATGATATTTCATCGATTTGAAAGATAAAATAATATTACCACTGATTGGTAAAATTGTTTCGATGATTGATTTTGTAGCATCAATCATAGTTTCACATAACAGATGAGGTATTTGTTCTTTCTCTTGAAAATCATGTTGAATTAGAAATTGTGAACATTGATAAATAAAAAATAATTGTTTTGGACTTAGACGAAGTTGTTCAGATTCTATAGTTGTGAAAATTTCTCGATAAAATTTTGAACGTAAACATGTAATAATAGGATTAAATAGTCGATCAACAATATTTAATTTTGAACAAACTCGAACAAATCGATCAATAACTTTATATTTAATATGATATAAAGAATATTCATTTTGAGATACATCATTAATAGCACGAATGAGTTTATTTAGAAATGATTCATTTAAAAATACATCTTGATATTTTTTCGATGGTAAAATTTGTAGTAGAATGGATATATCAGGTTTAATTACTCGTTCAACTGTTGGTTCAATTTCTTTTTCGGCTGTTAGTTCAATAAATTGAGTAGGAAATTTCTTTCGATGACTTATTAATGCCATATCAAATTGTGTTTTTTCAACTGGCCGTGATTTCGGTACACTCGGAGGTAGACAAGTAACTTTAAAATTTGGTTTATCTGCAATAGGTTTCGATCTCCTACTATTTTCATCGATAGTTTCATCTCTTATATTTATTTTATCTGTTACAGGTGTGATTTCATGTGATATAGATCCATAAAAACATGTTATAGTTTCATTTCGAAATAAACATAATTGTGCTATTAAATAACTTATTGAATAGAAACAATCTTCTTCGCACTTTTTCATTGGTATCGATTTTATATAATTGGATTTGATTAATAACATTTCTAATGTTCGTCCAATATAGATAAATATTGAATGATTAATTAGAACTGGATGATCAAATAATCGAAGAGTATTTATCGATGCTAGATCATCACAAATAATTGTTAAAATATTCAAACCATGATCTGTTTCATTTGTATAAGTAATATCTTTCATATAGGAAACAATATTGTCAAAAAATAATTTAATTTCTAGTACTGTTACAGGTGATATTTTTCGACGAAGACGACGAATAAGCGATGAATGTTGTATTAATAAGGAATCCATTAGATTATTTTTATCTAAAAGACAAAAAACAAAAAACTTAAGATGATTTCTCACATAATTCTTTAAATTCAAGAATATTTTTTAGTTTTTGTTGAATAAATTTTTCTGCATTTCGTGTATTTTTCCAAACGCGATTTGGATTATCAAGTTCTTCTAGTTTTCTTATTTCTTCTGGTGTTTTCCATTCATCGTCAATTTCATCTTCATCAGGATTAATATGTGCTTGAAGAAGAGAAACAGTATCCCAAGCTGTATCATTATCTTCCATGCTTGTTTGCATGTGATTTATTGGTCTCGTACTTCGAATTAATCTATAAAAGTAATTCGATGATTCCTCATTGTTAAAACATGAACCTGGATTAGAATTAAATGATGAGAAATATGCTTCAGACATTGAATGATTAAATGACATAGAATCATGTTCGAGCGATGCGTCGTTTGATAATTGATCAGTGACGAAACCAGCATCATTAGTGTTGCTATATTCTTCATTAGTTTGAGAGATTTTTGGTAAAGTTGCTGTTTCCGAATAGATTTTACCTGTAATACCAGGCTTTGTATGACGCAACTAAAACAATAATTATTCTAGGCGATTATTTTTTTTTTCATAATGATACAAAGTCATAAAGAACTTCTACTGATACTTATCTGTTCAATTTACCAATGGTATGCATTCTATCATTCGGACAGAATTAATGCCAGAAGATTTTGGAATTGAAAACTTGGTTTTCTTAATTATGTTAGAAATTCTATGCTCTAGCTAATTAGCAATCAGTTTTATTGTTAATAATTTTTGTTAAGTAGTTTGTCGTCTTTTTTCTTATAATTTCATCCAATTGTAAGAGATGACTTGAGTGAAATAAACTTCAAAGTATTCTTGACCATCTTTAGATTCGAGAAAGAAAGATACTTCATTAACAGATTTCTACTGTAGAAAAATATTTTTGGAAAAAAATCGTGTTTTTAGAACTTTCACATTAGATTTTGTGACGATGAAAATCTTGATTAGATGATGCCACATACAAAGTTTCACAGAAGTGTCACAGGAAGAGAAAAGCTCTCAGAAACTCTCTATCGATATACTCATACGTAATCGGCTCAATGTGAGAAAAAATATTCCGAAAATATTCGTAGAAAATCCACCAAATTCTGATGGTAATCGAACACTTTTGATGAGCGTCATTTTAGAATTTACATACATTAAAGATTTGCTGTTAATAAATCAATTATAAGTTTAAAAAGGTTTTTTGAACATATGTTTAATTAAAGCATAAAATGTCTAGTCGAGGTCACTACTTATGATTGTCTCTAATGTACTTTGAATGTTAAAAAGTTGATAGGATGTATAGCGGAAGAGTCTTGTAGCAAAAGTGAAAAACATTCGACCATTTGCCCATATCTAGACCCTTCCCATTCATTAAGCTGGAACTTTTATTTTACACATTAAGTATACCTTCAAATACAATATAAAATGACTATTCACTTGCTGGAGTTAATCAAACGACTGTAGAGGTTTTTTGATTGCAAAAATTCTGAGAATTTCTTTCTCTGCTTATTAGATAGTTTGATATGCAAAGTTGATAACTGTTGTATGTATCAGGATCTAACTGAAAGATCTTCAGAATACTGCTATTCTGTTCGAATCTAAAGGTGAACAAGAATTCTACGAAAGCCACGACACTCAGATCACTGCATATGTCAGTGTATTTTGCTCGCATTATACTGTTGGGTCATTAATATTAAAAAGCTTCTCAACGGAATTTGACAATTTTTTCAAACTTGTTACTGGTTAGGTGGTCTATCACATATCATACGAAGTCTGAAGACTGCTATCTCCTGTAAGATTTTATGAAATACGATTTAAAAGGAATGTTGGTATGTTTTGAGTAAAAATGTGTATCTTGTTTCCACTTAAACAGTGACACATGAGCTTCGGAAGTATTAGAAACCATGACAAAAATTTTTCGATATAAGATGTAAGACTGTATTAATGTGATATAATTAGAACATGTGAACTACTATTTTGATTAGTTAGTGAACACTAGACAATGAATTTTGAAATAGTGAGCGCAAAATAGATTCAATCAAACAGCTTTAAAGGATTAGAAACATCAATTACATCGTGTTTCATGTTTTCAATAGTAAAAGAATTGCAGTAAAAGCTTTTTTTAACGAGAAAATTGAAAAATCAGTGATTTTGATTCTTCTTGTTGGCAAAGAGTCACTTTTATTTGCCGTAACTTTGAGTAAACAAAGTTAATTTCTACAGATACTACACAGCCAAAGCCTTACCCTTTCTAATTGTATAAGTTGATTACAACTCTAGTTTCAATATCTGCGCTAAAGTGTCATTAAAACTACCTTAGACACATTAACCATCCAGTTTATATCCCGGATAGAACGAAATGCAGCCATTACAGTCAATTAAGAGCTAAACAACAAACTAATCTTTGCCATTTAACAAATTAGTAAATTAAAAATATTTTGATATGAAGTATTTTCTGTTAGAGAATTGCAGATCGAACAGAAATCGTAAAAAAAGAATTGTAAGTAACGATAGTTTAACTAAATGTCCACATAGATCTTTGATTTCTCAAAGACTAAAATCGATCAGTCCATGATTTTTTCGTTCTGCATAGCTGAATACACGATAGATCGTTGATAGAAGTGTTAATTTTCAATTGAGAAACGTTCAAGAGAAAAATGTAATTTGTCCAAAAAATGTTCCGATACAAAAAAGAAAGAATAATGATCCCTCTTAAGGAAAGATAACTTCATTTCATCTTGCTTTAGTTTACAGTATAAATGCGTGTATAGTATACTTGTAAATTAAACTGTAATAAAACATCCTCGTGTCATATCTACATCCATTTTCAACATTACAATTGGACGTAACTCATCCACGTGTGTACAAAATATCAAGGAAAAGAAAGTAAATCACCTAATGACGTTTTCTCTTACAGATATAATTCTTCATTCTAATTACTAGTTAAACCCTTCGAGAACCGAATTGTTTAATCGGAAAAAATATTTTTCAACTTTTTTATTTTATTTTAACTCAAAATGGCGATATAAATATGTTATACTAATAAAAAAAAACAATTTTTTTAATTTTTTATACAGAATGGCACTTTGCAAGCAAAGCAGTCGATATTGGATCGAAAATGTTCTTCCTTCGTGCTACAAAAAACTCATCTTCTTTTTCTCTTTACAACCAATTATATGCCATTATCAATATTAAGGATTGTTTTTGGATAATACTAGGTTAGACTTATTTTGAGAAGAAGGTCTTTCATAATCTATTTGTTCACTGCTGAAGCGGAGAAACTTCATTGCTGAAATCACATAGATTAGGCTAATCAGAGCGACAGTGTGTGTAAATACTTAGGGTTATCCAAAAGTAGTGGCGGAGGTTCTTTTTTTCTTATAGAAAGCTTGAAAAAATTTTCTTTTTTATGAATAGATAGAGCGTCTTTCACTCTATCTTTCTATGCTATTTGATCACTATTAAACTAATATTATAATAATAAAATTTCGATAAGAACTATTTTTGTTGAAAACCAGCTGGTAACACTTAAATCATAATGGATGTGGTTTTTTTTGCATTCCATTTTATTATCACATAATATGGTGTATTAAAAAAAAATATACCAAAAGATGCAGCATGAAAAGCTCTACAATTTATAAAGTACCGTTTATTTTATAGTTGTACTTTTTGTTTTAAAAATGGACAAAACTCTGAGTTACCAAGTTTCGATGTGATGAAAACGAGTCTTTTTTTGGTAAAAAAACGAATTCATTTTTTTTTGTCGTATCATTGTTCTTTGTAAATTGTAGAGCACTTCACGCTGCATCTTGCAGTGTGTTTTGCTTTTTAAAATAAAACATATCAAGTAATAAAAAAATGAGATAGGAAAAACGAAATTCATCTTTTACCAAAAAAACAATCCCGTTTTCGTAACGTCGAAATTTGGTAACTCAGAGTTTTGTCCATTTTTAAAAAAAGAAGTACAACTATAAAATAAGCGGTACTTTATAAATTATAGAGCTTTTCACGCTGCATCCTTTGGTATATTTTGTTTTTTCAATACACCATATTATGTGATAATAAAATGGAATGCAAAAATACCACATTCATTATGATTTAAGTGTTACCAGCTGGTTTTCAACAAAAATAGTTCTTATCGAAATTTTATTATTATAATATTAGTTTAATAGTGATCAAATAGCATAGAAAGATAGAGTGAAAGACGCTCTATCTATTCATAAAAAAGAAAATTTTTTCAAGCTTTCTATAAGAAAAAAAAGAACCTCCGCCACTACTTTTGGATAACCCTAAGTATATACTCAATAGAGAATGAAAATATTCTCGAAAAAAAAGGAGCAGAGGAAAATAGAGAAATTGTAACATCGATGTGCCCTAGCAGCAAGAACAAAGTATATTTCCAAAGAATTTATATGAGAGAATGCAAGAAAGAAAAGTATGAGATGGCAAATGCAGTTGTTTATGATCTTAATGACCTCACATATTTAATAGTTTAATGTGAAATAAACACTTTTTCCTTTACTGAAAAACAGGAGGTCCAAAAATGAGCCACCGGCTCTCTAAAGGTTAATTGAATTCTTGTTTATTTTGAAGGGCAGTCAGAGAAGAAGAAGATTTGTTCAAGTAATATTTTAGTCTCATAAAATGACTGAAATCTGCCTCGTTGAGATAAAAGAATGTTAAAACAAAATAAGAAAACTTTTCTCATAAAATATTACTCCGTCGAATTGAATACTTTTAAAACAATGATTCTTACCAATCTAGAGAGTAATTTATCATATTCAAAATCGAAATCATCTTTAAATTCAATATCAATTTCACTATTAAAAGCATCATAGAATAATTCTGCAATTGTCAACGAAGAAAGCCATGAATTTTCTTCTAAAGTATTTCTCATAACAAATGGAATTAATATTTTTCCTTTTGATTTAGCATAATTCAATTCATCAGTAGAATGTTTATTTTTTGAATAATTTTCACTAAATGAAATTAATATAACATCACTTTTGCCTATATCGGATTGAAATTTAGTCGTAGTTAATGATGTTTCACATAAAGAATAACCTTCATTAATTAAATATGTAGTTATACGATTACAAATAGTTTGATCGTATTGACAATAAGAAAAGTAAATATTATAACCTTTAACATTAATTTGGCTTGGATGTTTAATTTTTGTAAACAATGTTCTTGAAGTACTTGCTACTTGAGTTTGTAATGATAATCTTTCTTTGAAAATTTCTGACATTAATTTACATTTTTCCATTACTTTTTTAACATTTAACATAGAACCAATGAGATGTATTTGTGAATTCGTCATTAGATCTATCATTGGTAATACTGATTTGTTTAAACAATATTTATAAAAGACATTTATCATATGTTGATCCCATTGTCTTATATTAAGTTCATCAGTTATAGTTCTTTTTATCACAAAATGTTTTTCAACATAGTTATTTATTTCGTGTTCACATTTAATAAGATCCAAATTTGATAATGTCAATACTGATATTTGAACAGCTAATAAAGAGAAGCTCTTAGTTTGATTGCTGTGTGATGAAAGTTAGAAATAACATTTATTCATCTCAGGCAAATGCTCTTATTTTAAATAATTCGAAACTCTATTGTTCATTACCTTGGAAGAAAATGCTATCAAACGGAATCTAAACAGGTTCTTATTTTTAACATAATCAAAATTCTCTGAGATTTTACATCGACTTTTATAATGATTCGTTTAAATTGGGTTCCATTGCACTATGTTCCTACTGTATTCAAAATATAACCAATGAAATGTATACATTTTCGTTTAAACACACAATTCATTTTTATGCATAATTATGTCCATTCTTTTAAATGTAGCCACTATTCCACTCATTTATTGCTAAATATCCAGCCGTATCACTATCACTGACAAAAGAATAAGATACCATGGGAAAACATGTTTTCTATAAATCTAAATTCCAAAAAGGTTCTGTAAAATCGGTAATGATCTCAAAATGACTGTGAGAATTCAGAGAAGCATTGTCCAATGTTTTGTTTGTGTGCCTATCGGACAATAAACAGGTTCGACTGTACTTTAAAAATCGAAACCTTCCTAGATTTCCTAAATATTTAAAAAAACTATTTTACGTTTCAATAAAAATCACAACATTATTTAATGCTTCCATGCGGTACCAACTTTTTTCAGTGTATTAATTTAGTGAATTCCTCATAAAATTAATAGGCTGTTATATGATATGGAGACGTTCATTGACTCAAAGTTTTGCTAGTATGTAAAGAATATCTATGGTACTTCTATGATGATATCTATGATAACTGAGAAATGGTAGGGTACATGAATTTCGATTTTTCCACTATCAAGCATAGTTTTAGATGGTGTTTCAACGATAAAGAGAATATTGAATCATTTCTCATGTATGTCGAACATACTCGATACTGTAGAACAAAATTGTGCAAAACCATCTTGATCAGTTTGATATTGGACTAAGATTTGATGAAATTCTTTATACAAATCAATCTTTTCCTTGTTGAAAATAAACAGAATGCTCCAATTGATTTTCCTAGCTTCAATTTCTTGTTTAATTTCATTGATTAGATTATGAGCTAATGATTGTTGTTGGGATTGACTACCAACATGTTTCCATTGGTTTGTTAGAAAAACTATTTTTCGTGCACTAGTACAACATGTTGTAATATTCTGTAAAGTAGAAGAGATAAATGTGTGAATTGACGATTTCAATTTCTTGTTTGTTTTATCACCGTCTGCTACAGTTGGAGACCATCGATGAAATAGAAATTTTTTACCTGTTTTCATTTCAAAATATCCATATTCATTCTTATATTCAATACCCTCTTCAATAGCATCTTGTGGAGATGAAATAATTGTTACATCTCTCTACAATTCAAAGGGAAAAAATCAATAAAGAACAAATAAGATAAAAGTATGAGGAAACGGAGAACTCATACTCATACGTGCATGCAGAGTTCGTTGCTTGGGCACAAAGGGAAAAAATGGATAAAATACTGTTCAACTGTATTCGATAAACGTAGACTCTTTATATTTTCATACCAGAAATGTATGACGCGAAATTTCGCGGTTTTCCTGCGTACTGATGCAGCTATTTTCTCAAAATGCAATCGGATTTAGAACGATATCTTTCAATATTTTGAGATATATCGTTCAACTTTTGTTATTAGCTATGAATTTTGTGTAATGGAACAAATGCTTTAGAATATACACACAAGTGAATGCATATTTTGTTTAACGTACCATTAGTTACATTTATATAATAGTATTGTTAATATACTCGTTTTACAGGGTGTGGATGTTCTCTTAACTCACCTACACCCTTTTCGTGCTCTGTCTTTATATTATATAGATATTGTTCTCATTCTACACTTGTACCATACATATAGCGGTGCAGGGCAATGATTCAATAATATTGGGGAGATAAGAGAAAGAGAGAGAAGTCTTTTAGATCGAATCTAAATGAAATTATAACGACAGTTATATGAGCAAAAGTTCAGCTCGTATATATTCGGAGCCCTGGCACCAAACAGTTAATGAATGTCGATTCTTCAACATCGATTTTTGCGTACAGGCGAGAGATACAAGTATTTTAAGGCATTGTGTGGATTTACTGTATTGTCCTTACTTCCTAGAGACTTCGAGAACAAAGAATAATACTCATGAGTTCTTTATTAACAGCATGAGATATCTTGGGACGTGAATAGTACGTTGAATGAGCATTCGTGGGTGTGGGTGGGTGGATGTGCTTGTGAATGAAGAGAAGATTCACACCCACACCCACATCCTATTTATTTTTTGTACCTATATAATTGAGATTTAAATAAAATTAAAAACATTTTTGATAGTTTTCCTCTCTCCTAGACGTACCTATATATCTGAGAAGTAAAGTTTAAAACAAAAATAGTAATCGATATCGGACGATCCATTTCGGTTTCTGATTGTTATACTGATCTAAAGATATCATTTCGAAAGGAAAAACTACAATGGATCGATGAGAAGCGATGTTTTTCAAGATCGAGTCTAAGATACTAAGATTAGTTTCATACACAATCTCATTTATGTTTCATTCGTCTTTCCAAAGCTCTTATGCACAAAATAGTGAGTATACAAAAATACAAGTTATTTGCTTTACCGGTATAGTGCGTGTTTGATCTGTTAAATAAATTTCAATAGAACCATTTAGTACTGATATTTTTCTCATTGATAATGACGAAATAAATTCATTAGATTGTTGAATAATTGAACTCGATATATTCGTTAATTGTGATGATGCTTTCGGAATAGAATAAACTTTCATTTCCACTTTACTTTCAATTTTTTCTATTCGACAATAGTTATATTCAGCAATATGATGAACTTTCTTAATATCATCGTCAGTCAATTGTACAGAATTTCCGATTCCCTTGTATTGAAAAATAACTGGTTGAATCATAAGTTGTTTGATCTTTTCGTGAATCTTATCAATTAAATATTGAGGTGCACTAAATTCAGTTTCTCGTATTCGTATTTTAACACAATCATCTTTGTGTTCATCTTCTATATCTTTAAGTTGTTCGATGGAATTTTCTAATAGATATTCTTGCTAGAAAATGCACGAAGAAATTGGTGTTTGCTTTTAAATATTGAATAAGGATATTTACTTGATAGAGAGGTATTCTTAATTGTACTATTCTCATTGTATTTTTGTTTATAATTGTTTGCAATCGTTTTTTAGCTTTATGAACTAAATTTTGTCGTCCGAATAAACTAATTTTGATATCTAATTTGTATGGATATGTACAACGAATAATAGCTAATTCTGGATGTTGTCTATGAAAAATGAATTGATCAATATTATTCAAAAACTGTTTAGTTTTTTCATTGGGCATGGTTAGATTTTCAACATAGTCTATTTCATTATTTAATATTTCTGCAATCTTAGCTTCGGATACCATAAACGATTCATGAGTAAAGTAAAGAATTTTAAAATAACCAGAAAACATTGCTGTTTTTTCCCATATAGTGAAGATATTTTCATTATCCATTATTTTTTGTAGTACAGGAATAATTAAATCTGATTTAATATTTTTTGACCAATAGATCACTAAAAATAAATATGAGAAATGGAAACACTGAAGTTTTCTGAAGTGAATAATTTACTTTGCTGATCCACATCTTTTTTATCATAAATTTTGACTCGTGTTGATTCAAACAATTTTGTAATCATTTCACGTGCTACTTTTGTATTTTCTTTAACACCGCTTAATGTAAGAAAAATATCTTGAGTGTCTAATAATTGAATCTTGCATTCAATATTATATTTATTCAACAAATATTTCTGTAAATATGAACGAAATAGAGTATTGCAAAAGAATTTTGCATTGCTTTTGATAATTTCAATAGGAAATGTAAAGCTTTTCGTGTAAGGTCCATTCTTGTTTTTGTTGCTCATTGGAGTTGATGAAATAAAATGTGCAAAATTTACTTGTCTGAAAGTAAACAAAGTAAAACAAATACACATACGGATTGCTACTAGTGACAGAACTAGTGTGGGCGAAAAGCCAAGATACATGTAAGAATTTAGTATGATAATGAAAGAAAAAAGCAAAACAAAAGTTATACAGCCCAATATTTAAAACTCTGCAAAATCAAGCATGAAGCATGTACTTGACCGACAAGAGTCTACTACCGATACTACAAAATTACAAAGCAAAAAAGTAAAATGAATTTAGGGCTTTTTATCAAAGAAAAAGAGAAATCGATCAATGGAAACAGATCTGAGTTACCAGCTCAGTGGAATTAGTTAGAATTGACTCGAATCACCTAAAATTCGTATGGAATCCCAGTAATTGATCTGAAACTGGCTCGAATTGGGCCGAATCATCTACAATTCCTAGAATTCCATAAGAGTTGTAGTCAGCTCAAGCCAATTCCATACCAGTTTCTAGGATTCCATACGAATTGTAGGCAATACGGTCCAGTTCGAGACAATTTCAGGTCAATTCCATCACAATTCTTAGGAATCTATACGAATTATAGCCAGCTCAAGCCAAGTCTAGCCAGTTTTAGACCAATGCCTGGGATTCCATACGAATTTTAGGTGACTCGAGCCAGTTCTAACCAATTCCAATTCCAACCAATTCTAAGAATTGGAATTAGTATTGGTGCAATCCTAGTCTCCCCTAGCCCATGAGGAGCATGTGCACCTGTTCATTGTATTCTTATTTGTATCATTATCAAACATTTTTTCTAAGCATAAATAGTTTTTTTCATTCATGTCAAAGAGCACATATATGAACTCAAAGTGTCGTAAATCCGAGCATTTGTTCTACGAAAATTTTGAAAACTCACATGCCCATGTTCTAATATAGTGTTTTGTGCAAGCACTTATTGCTCCATTATCTTTATGAAAAAAAATCATAGCAATAGTTCAAATTTGTAGCATAAACCTGACTGAGTTGCAAATTTTTGTATTTAAACAAGTTAGTAAAAGTGTAAGTTGGTCAGGCTGAAAAAGTTGACCTACTAGTAGCTCTTAATCAGACTATTTCATTATTCAACAGCATTACTTCTAGATCATAAAAAGATCTAGTTTAACATAATAATTGTAGAATGTGAGTGTGAGCATAGTTGGGTATCGATCAGCATGCTTTTTATTTACATGTACTTCAAACTCACACCCGCGTCCATACTCACACCAACATCCTCGAAGGCTGTAAACTTATTACCGTAATGTGGCAGTGGATCTGTATTGCACAGATATAGGCATCCGTACCAGATCCTAGAAGGCTTTTAAGTCTTTTAAGGACATAAATTATTGTTTGAGGCAGTAGTAACTTATTGCATTTCGTTCTCTATGACAAATAGTTGTAAATCGAGTGTTAAATTTTACGACCAGATGCGATCGTCCATGACTGTCGTAATGCTTGTCGTATGAAGAGAAAAGAAATATTATCCTTCTATTCTCTAAGCGAACCGCCATGATTGAGTGGTTACGTGTTCGACATGTATTCACATGGTACTGTGTCCGAGCCACAGTATCAACTTCCATGGAATGACCTTGAACATGTCATTAATGGCTTGTCGTCGTTCTGGATTACTCATTCGATAGTGTGTTGATTACGTCGCTGGTCAATATGCAGAGTAAAAACACCAATCCTAAAATAAATGTCACAACTTCGTGACTTATGTTGACCGCCATCCTAAAAATCCATAAACTGGCGAAGCATTGGACGAAAGGGGTGCAGATACCGTCGTCAGTAAAAGGAAAAAGACAAAAGAATCCAGCTGCTTATGTGAATCTCTCAGCGCCAGTCCCAGCGGGTGATAAGCCTATAAGACATTATTATTATTATATTATCTAAGCACAAGCAACATCATCTTTTTCTTAGAAATAATAGTTTTAGAAGTTGTACAACAAGGTTCTTATTTGTAAGGGGGATTTTAAAGAAACTGACAATTTATGAACTTATCAAATCTGTGATTGATATTGGAAATATACTTGCCAATTGTAAATACAATTTGTCATGAAATCCAAAAGTAAACTTGGAAAGTCAACAATATTTGTATATGGTACCTTTTAGAAAGACTAAAGATTTTCGGTTCAGCATTCTACAATCAAAATCCACTAGTTTTCTAATATTCTTTTTTTTTGAGGATTCTATGACTTACATACATGTTTCCAACTTGTTTCTGAAGTATAAAATTTTTGATTAATGTATTGATCTTTAGACTAATACCAAATTTGGCCCATAGTAATTTTAACAGTCAACAATGCGATACGAAGATTTATACCGACAGTATTTTTATTATTGTTGAAAATTACTTTGAAATTCTCTTAACATATTTAACTAAATTGTTTGAATCCTTTCTTATTTGACTACTCTATTATTTTTATTGTTGGCTACTTCTCTTCTTTTATCTAGAAATTCATAAAACTCATATTTCAACTGTTGTTCTCAAACATCATTACCTAACAACTCACGTGAATAGCAAAATCCTTGAATTCATAAAAATAAAAGCGACAAAACAAAGACATATAGGATGTCTTTTCTTTTGAGTTTTATCTTCTTTATGGTGCAATAATAATTCAAGTAATAGTAACTATTTTCACAAGAAAAAAGAACAACCTTCAGCATAGAGTGATGAAGGTTGCTTCGAAACACAAGACCATGAAACAGTTACGACAAACATATACCTTCAAAGATAAGACTGTGCTTTGTTTTCATTTTGCTGAGATGATTAACTGTATGTTTTTATAGATTTTTTTGTGACTATTTGAAACGTATGAAACAGTTAGCATTGATAAAATAACGATCAGTTACTCATCGATTTTGCGCAAACATTTTTTCTTCAATGACTTTGAGATAGATATGGTTATAATTATATGTAGATTTGGTTTTTTCTATTTCGAATGTCTATGACTTTTAAGCTATTCTATTTAATTCGAGAAAAAAACGGATAGGTCTTTACGCTGTTTTTAAATAATTATTTGCAATACTTGTAATACTTCTATACCAAAGTTTTGATTCTATATCAATTTTGAACTTTTTGCTAATCTAATACTGTTTTGTTTATAGACATTTTGTTTTTCTTGAGGTTCGAATGATACCTTTTTCTATACATTAATGTGTAATTGTAGAGTATTTAGTATCAAAACAGGCTTTGTTACAGACTTTGAGTATTTAAGAATTTTTCACGATAGTCCCATTGTTCATAATAATATTCATTTCTTTACTAAAAAAAACATGGAAAACATATTTCCGACTTTGTACAAATCCGTGCTTGATTATAAAAGCATTCACAACTCCGTTCGATACAAATCGAAATAAAGCTTGAAAGATCTATTCATGGAGATTGTTCGAAAAATCTTTTTTCCAGAGTCTAGTACAAGGTTAGCAAAAAAACATTGTAACTAACTCATCGAATGTCGGTCGTCTTGTTATTTTTTGATGAGAGATTTCAATCAAAATCCTATTAAATCAAGAATTTTTATTCTGGGAAAAAATTGACCAGCCGATCATGTCTCACAATATCATATGAACCAAAGTGATCTCTTCAGATGAGATATTCTACCTTTGTGAAGAGCTCTCTAATGTTGGGTAAAACTATTCGAACGTGCCTCAAAAACTTTCTACCCATAAAAGGGACATTTTCAGTCAACAATGAAAGATATAACATAAAAATTTAGTAGCTATTTTTTGCAAATACATTCCCTTTTTATAGCGAATGCCCTTCATGGATGTTTCGTTTGAATTTCTATACGTACCTTTTTGAATTTTTTATGATACTATGCTTATACTATTACCTTAACTGACTGTAAATAAGAGTTGGCTAGCGACATTCACTGTCTCGTCTGACATTAGATGTTAGTTTTTTTGGATGTGGGTGTGGGTGTAAGTGTCGTTGGAGAGTGAGTCTATCTGCAAACCTACACTCACACCCACATCCTCTCATTTTATTTGTTCTAAACTGACTTTATCTTAAGTTTTAGAGTACTGATGCTTTAAAATTTATATATATTCTATTTAAAAACGGATTTATTTTGTCTTTTCTGAAAAGAACCTTGGAAACTATTGAGATTCAACATTTCTGAATTAAATTAATCTTTTAGAAAAAGTTGACAGATATTTTCTGGGAGATATATAAGCAATCTTCCAGATATTTTTTAACTTTGGCAGTTTTCTGAATCGAGTTTCAATTGTATCTCTATGGAAGCTACTGAACTCGTCTGGACGTGACTCCTGTGAAACATTTTTCTCGTGTAGACATAGTGGTATCTAAAACGACGTCTAAACGCAACAAATGCTTCACTGGGGGGACGCGTTTAGATGTGATGCTCCACAAGAACACAGCCAAATATGAATGTCAGTAACATCGCGCCTAGACGAGTTTCTAGCTGAAATCGCATTCAAACGCAACAGATGTTTTACTGGGTACGCGACTTGAAACGGAAATGCATCCAGATGCGCTTGTAACCTTACCTGAACTGTGGTTGGACGCCGTTTATAAAAAATTGCGTCCAGACACGGCTTCTATTGGATTTTCACCGCACGCTCTCTCTGAAAAAAAAGGAGGTTTGCTAAACGGTATCCAATTGCAGATCCTTTGTGAAGTTCTACAGATTGAACAGATCCCCAAAAGAAGGTTTTGCATAAGATACAGACCTCTGAAGAAGGATCTGCGATCGGCTACCGTTCTGCAAACCTCCTTTTTTTTTTAGAGAGTGTAGACGCATTTCAAAAGAAAAACGCACAATACTTGCGTTTCGTGTTTACATGGACCGCCTTTTTTATGAGATACGAAAGATTCTTTTATTTTTTTCTTTAAATAAACTTCATTTTTAATTTAGATAAAGCAAGTGTTAAATTAAGATTCCACAAATAAAATCATTTTTTATCATATTTCTAAACGTAGAAATGTCATCTAGTAAAGAAACAGTTGTTGACTTTTGGATTACAAATGATATTCAAAAACGATTTCTGAAGGATGCACAAGTTAGTGCCTGTTTAGAAGAGTTTCTCTCAAAGTCACTGTCAATTAAAATCAAGATCGATTGTCACAGTTCAACAAAGGACAGTTGGTGGCGTACCAGAGGATCAACGATGGTTAGAGTTCAATTAATTGATGGAAGTCAGTATAGACCTGATATGCGAAAAGCTTTTCATGATTTACTCAAACAATTTCTTACGAAAATACAACTTAAAGTATATAATCGTGATGATAAAGGTAAATATTGTAATTAGAACATATTATGTAACAAAATCAAGTTTAAATTAATAGTTTGTTTTAAGAACAAAGCAACATTCGGATTAAATTTTTACAATACTCTTCTATAAATTATTTGAGTAGAGATTTTATTAAAGAACAGTATTACTTACAACAGGAGAAGATAAATGTGAGCTTTCATGAAATCCGCATTCGTACACTCTTGAGAGATAACCAACAAATCAATTTATTCTAAACATTTAGTTTCATTAAAATGTATCATTAACGCTTCAACCTTTCGGACTTTCTGCGAGCGTATTCAATGGAAAAATTCTTGGTGACTAAGAGTATAATGGAAAAGTAGTAGTTCATTCAAAATCAGAGTTTGAAACGAAGGAGATTTTCTATTCTTCACTTTGTCCCATCTAATCTCAATTCGAAATGTTTCTCTTTACTATCTCTTCAAGTACTTCAAAGAGATTTTATTCTATGGCTATAATTCTTTTTTGACCTCATACTAAGAAAAATAGATACGGAGACAATCGTAGCAGAAGAGTACATCCCATCTTCAGACACTTTCTATTTTTGTTATTCTTCATCATACGAAGACAAAGAAACATTATTACGAATTGCAAGATGTAAAATAGAATTTCTTAAACTGACAGTTTCATCTGCTACCAAGAACTGACCGTCAATAGCAGTTACAATGCGTGTTATCAGTTACACGTGACATGTCAATTGAAATAAATCGAAATGATACATTTCGTGTTCATTTAGCAACCAGCAAAATTTGAAAAATCTTTGCCTAGTGCTAAAAAAGTACTTATATCAAATTCATCTTATACCATAGATCTCAATTTTGATTTTTTTTCTTCAAGTAAACCATTTATACTTGTTTAGTATATAAGAGCATATCCTTAGATCAACGTCTTTTAGTGTGCTTGTTATTGATATTCTTTGAATGTGGGTGTGAATGTTTTTTTTTCTTCTCTTATACTCACACCCACACCCTGAAGTTGAACGATGGATCTCCAGTGAAAGTTGACTGTGATTCAATATTAAGTCAAATATTTTGTTTTTGAAAGGGCATCAAAAACTGCAATGCCTGTGAGAGCCCTTTTGTGATAAAGCTTTTCTATCATTATACTGAAAAGCAATTTTATAATACAAGCGTATTTTTTTAAGAGATTTTTCAGCGAGTGAACTTGTTAAGTCCTTTTTACTTTGGAAAGATAAGAATTTTTAAAAAAAGGCCCCCATAAGTACTGCATTCTGGTATGCTGTTTCAAACAAAGAACGAATAAAAACTATCGAATGAATAATCACAGAGAATTCTTCAAGATACGATGAGCTATTTTTTGGCTCTTGTTTGGTTCGTATCTTCCTTATATATCAAGATAGGAGGCTGAATATTTTATTAGAGACGTACTTTTATAGCCCCAATACACCTCAAAGTTTCATGACATTTTTATGTTCTTTAACTGCGATCAACATTTGAAGAGAGCTTAAGATACATTCTTTGCTGAAGATAAATATATTTTTAGATACGGCATGATTTGTACTTTCTTTACGCATATAATATGTTTCAGAACAAAGAAAGTGTGTTAATAAAAAAAAGATACAAAAGAGAAAATTCAATTGGTCTGATTTGTGTTATTTAAAGATGATACTTCAACACCTCGTTTTCTCACTTCGTTTCATATTTTAACTACCATCTCCTGTCCTGCCTCACTTCTTTTTCATCTTTGATGTCGAAAGAATTCAATCACGTTACTCTTGATAAAAATTTGAGAACAAGATGAAATTCCCTGTGAAAGCCTATCAAAAGTGATCATCACTCTTTCTAAACTAGGCTTTTATTTAGCTACACTGCCAGGATAACGAACAATCTCACTCAGTATCTTCTAATCCAATTGATTACTCTAGTAATTTTGATAACATGTTTTTATTTCTTGTTTACAGTTGTGCAATTGCTGAGGTTGCAGACAATGGTCGGAACACGGATGAATCTTCTTCAAACACTTATAAATCGAAGAATTAACGATATAATCTCTGTTTTGGTACTTAAAAATTATGGTTTATACGTGTATTATTTACCAAAGAAGCCATTTGGTACTATTGACGCGAAAAACCTAACGTATTTCATTGAAAATGAAGTTTCGCTAGACGTAATACAATTACCACCGTCATACGAACGATCTTTGCATGTTGAAAGAGAGCTAAGAGAAATAATATCAAGAGAAAAGGAAAATAATGAAATCTTTATTCTATTTAATGGTGTTTTGCCAAATGTCAAACGACAAGAAATTATTCTTTACGGTTATCGCAAAAAAGTAATTAAAATAAAAAAAGAAATCTTGAATGTTTTTGAAAAGAATACTTTAATTGCCTATAAACTCAATTTTAAAAGTCAACAACAAGTAAGTACATGTCATTCAATGACTTAAATAGTTATGATTTATTTAAATTTAATGTAGATTGAAGCATTTACTGAATGTCATTCAAATCCATTGAAAAGTATCGAAAGACTATATAATGATTATGGTGTTAAGTTACAATTGGAATCAAATGAGTTTTTAGCACCTGAGCATATAAAAAATGATATCGAATCGTACATTGAAGAAATTTTATCAGAAGTATCCACAAATAAAACATTCGAAACTATCGAATTATGTAAAGATATCGCTATAAAAGAAGAACAGCACTTGAGAATTATTGCAGAACGTTATAAATGTTATATTAAAACTGAATTGAAGCATAATTGTCAATCATATCCTGTGCCAAAGGCATTAATTTCCAACACGCAAGTATCACAATCAATATTTGAACAATCAAAACAATTTTATTCTTCAACCGATGTATTAAAAAAAATGATTGTAGCCAATGGATCAATTGAACTTCGTATAGGAGATATTGCTTTACAAGAAGTTTGTTTAAAAAAATAATTCACAAAAAAAAAAGAGCAGAATTGTATATCTTCAATTGTTTATTTAGACTGATGTGATTGTAATTTCCACAACATTCAATGGTTTGAAAGAAGGTGTCATTGAAAGATTAGGTGAAATACAGAACGAAGTAACTTATATAGACGTCGATGGTACTATGTACACTGAAACAAATGGAGGTAAATTAAATTGTAAACGAATTTTATTTTCTAATTGGTTACCTATATCATTAATCAATAATGATCAAATTTTACGATCATCAATACGAAAATTTGTTACAAAATCTATGGAATATATAACAAAAGAAAAAGCTACAAAATCAATTGCATTTGCCATACCGGATACATCTACAGATGAAACTATTTTAGCCGAGATAATGGTGGCTGAAATTAAAAGACATTTAGAAACAAATAAATTACCGTTAAAAATTGTATTCGTCTGTTTACCTGAACAAGAAAATTTATATCAGCAATTCTCGAATTTAATTCCAACAATGAAAGATAATTTTATGTATTTGGATTATCCAACTACAGGTAAGATCTTAAGAGTAGTGCCCTGCACAAATACTACTTTTGGTATCCGGACCGGATCCGGCCACATTCGCACCCGGGACCAAACCTGACTCGACTAGATCTAGCTGTTAAATAATGAGCGTTTGAGTCGAATTGTCAAAATTAAATGTATTCTTCCCATGTTACCGAAATCGGATTATAACCGACGGTTAACCACGGTTCTTTTTCTTGATTTTTCGTTTTCATGTCTCACTAGATGAATATTTTTTAATTCTTACAAAATTGTTAGATTTGAGACTAATTCGCGCTTCTTTATATTTGTAAACGCACTGAAACCACTGGTACTAGCCACATCAGCTAATTTTGCTTAGTTTTCGAGATTGAATGTTTCATTAAAGATGCCGCTAGAAAAATAACTATAAGTTAGAAGATTAACCAATAGAAAAATTTGTAGTGCTATCTAAAATAGCACACTAAAACAGATTAAAATCGATTTTTTTGAGTAAGAAATGATGTTTTCAGAAAGATCAATATCAGTTTTATAGGTGTGGATCTTCTCTTCATCTACACCCACACCCACCCACACCCTGTGGGAGTTTTCCAATGGGAACTTCATTCACGTTAATACCTTCATTTTTATTTATTCATTTTAGTCATTAAAGTAATACTATTTGGATGCGATGAAGAACACGTAACTAGATGTGAAGAAAAAATAAACGAATATCTTTCACGATGTGTTGCTAAAGAAAAAATTGCAGACTCTAATGACATATTTGAATCTTGGGATCAACATACAATAAATTGTTTTTTTAAATACTGTAAAGATAGATATGTATTACCAAAACTCACGAAAAAGAAAAATCTAATCGAATTGATTGGTCCATCTTATGGTATCTCAGATGTCAAAAAGAAGCTTCATATCCTGTCTAAATTAATGAAACAAGCAGTGAATGATATGTCAGTTATAAGATGGCCGAGTTCATCTGTCAGTACTTCGGTACAATCTGAAAATAGAATGTATACTAAAATGACTATCTTATATAATATTGTGATTAGTTATAGTCAAAATGATATAAGAAAATGTCGACGTTTAATCAATCGATTAACTGAAGAGGGTTTCTCAATCGGAACAAATTCGAATCTAGCTGAAGAGGAACACGATTTATGCTCTCAAATGGATAAATCCGATTGTATTATATTGTGTATTAGCGAAAATTATTACGAAAATTTATCATGCATAAAAGAAGCTAAATATGCTTTTCGGGCACATAAAAGAGTTTTTCTTGTAAATATTCAATATAATTCACCAATCAATTTGGATAAAAGTCTATTTGAAGGACCATACTTTTTCCATTTATTTGGTTCAGATAATTATTTCGAATTAGAATACGAACGACTATTACTTGAATTGGTAAAATGAATAAAAATAGATTTCATTTTCATTATGAATCCATAGTTTATTCTACTTAGTTACGATACACAAAGCCTGGTTTTACAACTATACTACAACATAGATCGAGTCGTACACAAAACGGCATTGATGATTCACCGAAAAAATCATCAGTAGAACAGCGATCATTAATTAAAAATATAACTGGTCGAAAATCTTCGAAAGCAAAGCATCAGACAATGACGAATATCATTTCTGACATTCACAAGGAAGAAAGAAAACCAAATAATCAAGTGATAACTAGTTGTTCTAAACGTAAGTTTCTTAACAGAATACGAACAGATCATAATAATTAGATTCTTCTGCTGTGAGTCATGTCTTTCGATTTTACTCAATGATTGAGACAAACAATACACTTTTTATCTCTTGTCGTGTGCCCATCGGCATTTCGAAGAGATGTTCATTGCGACTGAAAATCTACGTATCTCTGACATGGACATCTCTGGTGTCTGATTCGGATCAAGTTGGACTAAATATATGCATACATTCGAGGCAAAACTCATTTTAATCTATTTAATCTAAAAGCTCCGCAAAAGTGCGTATAACTTTAGATGAATGTAAGAAATAGTTACAACATTACATGTATTGTTATCGACTGCTACGGTATATTTCAGTTCAAAATAGGTTAGTATTGGACTTCTTTAAAATGGCTGACCAAATGGTCCTTGGGCAGTGATTAAACAGCTCTCTTCAGGAGGTATTCTGGTCTTTGAGTTTTCAACAAAGGAGCTGAAATAAAATAGAGTTGGATGACTGAAAAGAAAAAGATAGATCATTGAAGTACGTTAAACAAAGCAAGAAACATCTAGTTATACGAAAACCATTCGAACTCAAAACATACTTGGTACATCTCTACTAACGAGTATCTCCTTCGATAAATCATTCTCATGATTCTTTGAACGGCATAGGCTTAAATAACATTATAATGTAGATTAAATCTTATTTTATCATAGTGCTCGTGTTTTTCCTGCAAGAGTTGCAGATTTCATGAGATTGTAGTCAACATATACTTTTCGCACGTTCACTATGCATAAAATACGCACGACAATGTATGCTTTTGAGTGTTCAGCCTACATTCACTAACATTTTCAATTATGAGAACTTCAAAAACATACAACCCTAGATTTTTGATTTTTCTCTTTTGGAGTTATGATTAATGAAACAAACTGTCGATCATGCTTCTTTTCCTAGAACTGTGACAAAAGGATATTAACCCTTTCTTGCTCTATGGTATTTATAAATATCATTTTATAAAACATCGATTCTTTTAAACTATGAGAAATTTAGCAAAATATTTTATATCAATCTAAAGTGTATATACTGTATACTTTAAATCAACAATTCGAAACTATTCTTTACCATGAAAATAAGTTTTTTGACATTCTCCGAATACATAATGTTATGACACGTACTGCGATGTTGTCATTTTCAGACATTTTTCAAATAAAAAGAATAACGAACGTACTATGTATCTAACATTTTGACCCTGGATGGATTTAATTTAAACTTCTCTTGTGTATAGTAGAGGTCATAAGATTGCTGTTATTGATCGAATCGTTTTTCCGAACCGTCAGGTTTAGCCAAAGGCAAGAAATGGTTAACACGTGTATCATGCTTGTAAAATGAGAAACAGAATTAACTTATAACTGTGATAGACTGTGAAGAGTGTAGGTATGAGGTGAGGTACGGTTTGCATGTCGATATTAGTGAGACTCACTGTGTTTACTCATGCCCACATCCATACTCACAACTCCACCCTGGTGAAAAAAGGTATAAAGTTGGTTGAGCTTCTGACCTTTGAGATCTATATTATAGATACTTGCCAAAAATCTTAATCGATTTCTTCTCTATTTAACTATTTATATTGTGTGTCATTGAAGCTATAATTCCTAATTTTTTAAGGTAACCTTAATACATTCGAAGAATATTGGTTGGTAACTTTAAACAAATACCTCAAGAAAAATTTATCATCAATTGTATTTAAACGAAAAGCTTCCTATGATAATAAACTTCCAATGCAAATACCTTCAAGTACTTACAAAGACTTCGGCTTATATGTTCAGTCGGCTTCTGAAAATAATTTCACAAATTCTTCATCTACCCTCGCTGTAATCAATCAGCATATTTTTGCATATTCAAGAAGGGAACAAAGAGAAATTCAATTATCTGTTAATAGAATTTCGATAGATACTGATCGAACATATGGACGTTGTACAGGAAAAGTTCAGTTTTTCGGTGGTGTATCTCAAGTTTTTTCTAGCGAATTCTCGTCCACTGATTTCATACCACGTCGGAAAAACCAATACTATTCTTTGAGAATAACATCAATATATGGAAGTGACATGCCAATGAAGGAATTCAGTGAATTAAGGCGTCACAAAGAAAAGAGGAATACTCCGGAAAAATTGGCTAAATATTTTATTCAAAAATATAATTATACTAATGAACAATTGAATGTTTATTTAAAATTTGTACAAAGGATGAAAGACAATGCTGCAGAATTAGAAATGCTGTGTTCAACATCTGAAATCGTGAAATAATACTTTCAGCAAAAATATTGACCTGTAGAAGTCACAACATGTTGATTTTTCCTTCTGAATAAAATTTTTTTGATTCAAAATATAGCAGAACTACTGAAAATATCGAAGGAATTGCCAATAAAAAAAACACGATGGTATGGTAGATTTGAATTTTTTTAAAGTACATAGAAACTTTGATCTATTTCGAAAGCAGATCAATATTAAGTTCAGAACAAGACCTAAACCCACACCTACCCATACACTTTTTATAATATTCAAGATCTTGATCTAATGCGTTCTAGAGTTTTTTTCCAGCAGCATAATCATCTGTCGTCATCATTTGACAATGATGGTGATCGTTACGATCAGCTACCACTCCTGGTGGTAGTTGATATACAGCATCATTAATATCGCCTGTAGGTGTAAATGGAGGAAAGTTTAACCAAGTCACTTGAGGATACTTCTCTTTCCAATAGGTTAGTGTACGGATAAAATCGAGACTTTCCGAATCGTCATTATATAATTCATTCTCAGTTGATTTCAACAAATCATCAACATGCTGTTTGACTTCAAGCATTTTCAGTTGATCAGAAGCAATTTGCTTTTTTAGAGTTGCATCGTACTTTGCTCGGCGTTCTACTATTTGTTTTGCTGTTAGCACTCGACAAGTTTTCTGGTTTATAGAAGGATCTAGTCCCCTATATCGAAGCTAAACATAGAATATAGGCATATACTGAATGTTACTTCATTTAATTACTCAAAAGATGCTTACTAGTTGCTTGACTAATGCGTTGTAGCCTATCTCGAAGTCGCTGCTAGATCCTGCCAATTTGAAGAAAGGCTTGTAAGCAATGATGAAACTGAGCCATCCTTCAACAACATAATCCGATGAGACACCAGCAGCGATGATGATCTTGTGCTGATCCGCAGCATAGCGAGCTTCTTTTTGACAACAGTTGTCATCAGAATAGGCATCACTTATGCAAAGTAGAATGACCTCACTACCATCTATTTTGTTGGCCATCACTGTGTCAAATTTGTTATGAATTTTGTCACTCTCGATTGAAACTTGGAAACCATCTTTGACGAGAAGTGCAGCAAGTTTATGGCAGAGAACCTTGTCTTCGGAACAGTAGCTTATCATGACAGAGCATGCCACACGTTGATCCTTTGCTGAAACAAACGAAGACGCTTTTCTGTTATTGGACACCTCTGTTGATTCACTAATAGATGGCGCAATCCGCGCCGATGTTTTCATCTGGCATTGACCCATTAGTAAAGTGTTTGTCACAAGTTTCGATTATGAAAGAAAGCAAGTTCTTACGTTTTGCTTTATTACGTACGGTTAGATAATATAAATGTCGTCGAGTATCTACGTTTTGAAGAAAAAGAGAATGTTTGAATCAATTTTATATTCGTCAATTCTCTGCATACTAAAAGCATGCTGCTTCAAATTTATGTTTTTTGTTATTTGTCTTGAAGATTTGAGGGTAGGCGAAGATAGAGCTAGAAACCTTTATTGTTTTATGTGCATGCACATATCAATGACACATCTACAAATGAAAGCATCGATATTCACCATGACAAATGTAATTAGTTTGCTTTTTTCGTATCATGAGAGTTTCGAATAGTCATTTTGAAAACAATTTAAGATGGCTATGAGGGAAATGGTGCCAAAATACGTGCTTGTATTCTGGTTGCAAGCTATAATTTGAAAAGTTTTTACAATATTCAAAGGAACACAAGATAATAAATTTCTGATCGAAAATACACTTTTTTCTTCTTTTAAAATTCTTAATATGAATAAAATATCACCTTATCTTTTGTCTGCAACTATACATTGAAAGTCCTCTTTACTCTCACGTCTACAGATAATAAAACTATATGAATACAGACATATTTATTGCATACAGATAACAGTTCTTCTTTGGGCGATATAGTATTATAGAAAATGATAAAAATATACCAACATCCATTGAAAATAAAAGTAAGAGAGTTATACGACTTATTTACTTGTGTAAAGAACAAAAAGAAAGAATAACAAAAGAAAAACAAGTAATCGTAATGTCCTTGTACTTTTTCAAAAAAATTCTGAAAGTAATCTGCAAGGAAACATACGTTTTCAGAAGACTTTAAGATTATCAATGAAAGATGTACGAATAACAGGCATTTCTTAAACCCATAATGAGGGTGTGAGTGTGGGGTGTGAGTTTGAGAGTGGGTGTGGGTGTGGGTGTGAGGGTGTGAGTTTGAGAGTGAGTGTGGGTGTGGGTGTGAGGGTGTGAGTTTGAGAGTGGGTGTGGGTGTGGGTGTGGGTGGGTTGTGGGGTGTGAGTGGGTGTGGGTGGGTGTGGGTGGGTGTGGGTGGGTGTGGGTATGGGCGAGGGTGTGATTAAAGGGCAGAGTAACACCCACACCCACACCCACCCACATCCACATCCACACCCACCCACACCCACACCCACACCC